ATTTTAGACTCAGAACTCTGCGCATAGCCAATGTCCATGTTTAAATCATAGAAAAGTTCAAATTCAGGGATTCACGGCTCAGAAGCTGGGTCAAGTGGGGAGAAAGTCATGTATGTGCGTTGATTGCCATATGTTCCCGATTCATTCCGAAGCACGTGAAAAAGCACTTCCACAAATTCATTCATTAATGCAGTTCCCAACAAACAAGACAGAAATTACGTTTCCGGAAACTAAAACACGTCCACTAGGACAGAACTGGAAAATCAATCCCTCACGAAATTTGTTGACTCGCTTTGACGGCAATTTGAAACCAATCCGCTTAGCGTGTCCTGGCAATTTGAACTGCACTGAGCCTGCTTGCCACACAATCTCTGGAATTGAGTGGGCTGCCCTCGCTTGAGTTACAGATCGCCTCTTTTGGAAAATGTTCAGAGAGAGAGGAGGAGAGATTACGGATTTTGCGGAAGTAAATTTGAAAAAGATTAGTTCACAAACAGAAATAGCATTCTGAGGGTGAGAAATTGCGAAGGGCTATTTTTATGAACAAAAATAGATTTAATGCTTCACATTCTTTCAATACTTCCGAATACATCGTCTTAGCTTATACTGCTCCACGGAGTGCCCAACTAAAAATTTTCAGGAATGTGCAAACTGAGAATTCCGTCGAAATTACAAAACTATTTTCAAATTTCATACCGTTAAGTCAAGCATTTGCAAATAACAAAAACTGAGGAAATTTCGTGCACCTTACTGGAAGCAATTTTCAATGCGAATGTTACATGACCAGGTTTTAAGCAACTGCTCTCCACCTAGTGTGTCATAAAATCACGAAATCGCAATTCATACACGCAGTATTATTCCCGAGACGAAAAAGTATGCAGACACATTACAGCTAGCTTTCAAACTGGTACTAAATCCTGAGGCTCCTCCACACAAATGCTTGAAGAGATAGCCAACAAATCTTAAAGACAGCAGTTCCAGCTCCTAAATTCGAATCACTAGGTCTTTCAGCCTCAATTTTTGACTTTTTTAGTTATTAAAATAAGTGGTAATCTGTTTAAAAGGGAAATCCTGTATAGGCCAGCAAGTTGTATTCGCTAAGAAAAAATTTAATAACGTCTTAAAAACCTTAATAAATGAGGAAGTATTTCAACCAGGACAAAGGAAAAAAAAAGCATTTCGGAACCCAGAAGACGCCTCAAAAATTCGGAAATGTGAGGACAAACTGAAAAATTAGATGATTCATTCGTCGTTAACAACTGCCACCAATACGCTTCATATAAATAAACGCTATTTTTTCAAAAGAGGCACCAATCACTAGTGAAATGTAAACCATTATCCATAAACTCTTCCTCAGAATGTCTGTGATTCTTTTTAATTTTTAGGAAGAGGAGGGGAAGATGTGTTTACTTCTAACGTTCTTTCGCTTTTCGGAGATGAGACATAGCGCGCTGGGCTTTGGAAACATATTCACAGGTAGAAACATAAGTATTCTTTGCGCTACAGCACGATGAATATTGACGTATTCTACTTTTTCCAAACGTCGTGTTGTTTGTACGAATTCGAAGATTTCAAATGCAACTGTAATAACTCACGCATAAAAACGTGCGTTAAATCGATTAATCCAAGCGGCTTTTGCGTACGCGTGTGCCCGGCGCACAGTCACATCAAATGCTTAAACTGCAACGCTGCAGTCATCCCACTCTTTCGATTTAGAATAAAGAAAAGGAGAAATAACAAGTTTAAAAAAATAAGCAGTGAAATAGCAAAATAAGAGATAAGGGATCGGTCTAACTGTCATGCATATGAGGACTTCTTAGGATGCAACCTGCACTTCATCCCTTAGCCGCAAACACTTTGTGTGCGGGTAGAAGCAAGAACCATCAATACAACTTTCTACTGGCCATGTACTAAACAGTCATGTGACTAAATTGCAAGACAGATATGCGAAAGAACAGATGGAAGGAGGAAAGAGAGAAAGGGCAGAGAGAAGGAATTTTATTTAAAAAAATGCCTAATACAAACGAGAGATAAACAGATAAGGAAAATAAAATGTAGAGATTCCGCGTTCCGGAACTGCGTTTCTGACCTCACCTTTCTTTTGCGGTACAACGGCCAGCTCAGTCTACACCATGCAACCATCATTTATACTAAAATTGAGCCTCTCGCGGTGCAGATCAAGGTCAGTTATCTTCTATAATTAGTACCGCAAAATAGGCATTAAGTCTCTAAATTTTTATATTCCTTACACAACCAGTTGTGGCGCTGAGTTAAGATGTACACAGATTAACGGACCGAAACTTTTTAATTATTAATTTCTATGTATACTAGAGACTCCAACCATTAATATTTTCAATTTATTTTACTATTATTAGCGCTTATTCTTAGAATAACGTTACTGAAATTGCTTTATGCTAATAATTTGTTCATTATCTAGCACAAACAAACTGAAAAAGATAAATGAAAAGGAATGCTTTCGGTTTATTAAGTCGTATACATCCCTGTTCAGTACCAAAACTGGATCTCGTTAGCAAGACGGTTGTGGCATTATTACAGATTAAAGGAATAATACAATATCGAAATTTGAAGCTATAAGGATGGAAAGTACCAGTAAATGCTTCCTCGTTGTATTTATATGATTCTGTTACAATTCATTAAGGTGCGGTCAAAGCATTACTACGAAGTCATTTCTCAATGGAGAAATAGATGACTTCTACCAGCATTCAAAAAAAATACGATTTTTGTGCTCTTATTAGTTAGTAAAGTAATTACTCGCTGGAGACATACAGCCCAAATCGAAAAGCCTGGCGACGCTGCGCCTAGAGTTTGGGATCAACCCAGTAACATCACTAACATGAATTACTTGATGCTGTAGGTAGTAAAGCATTGGCTATGCAGGATTGACTGAGCGAAGGATAGTTCGAATACTGCTCTCGCTATTCAGTCTCTATAAGAGGTGATGTTCTTGTAATTAGCTTGAGCGGTAAAACAGTGTCAACAATTACTATCCGCTGACAGATCCGTCGATGGCCCGTTCTTCCGAGATTTGTTTAGAAGTAGGCTTGTGACGTTCTTGACTCTCTGGTAGGTGTGGATGGCAACTTATCATACAACCGAATGAAAAAATCGCAAAGAGGTTGGTTTTCTGGCCGGTAGAATCGAATTTTACTACTGGTGGAAGTCACCGCCAGTCGAGAGACTTTTAGCATGAGGGCAGTATTTACTGACCATACATAAAGTCCGCTAATTTACACACAGAAATGTTTAAACAAAACAAACTAAAACAAATGACACCTGAAATTCCTGGCGATAAAAGAATGTAAGAACCTACAAGATAAGGACATCGTACTCGCCCTGCTGACCGGCGGAGCAACTGACCGGTTGATGATGGCTAAAAAAGAGTGACACTGTAGCCGACCATTGGAAAGATGTTTTGCATCGACGCTGTGCATCTCCTTTACGAAGGTCAATTATTACCATTTACTAACCGCACACAGGATGCAGCCGGCACTGGACTGGGATGGTTACTTCAGGTCATCCCATTGCTGGTCAGCTGCATGACCTTTGTTTACCGATAGCAGTGGTGTTTACACCGTCCAAACACAAGCGAGAAAACTGCTACGCAGTGACTTTTTGACCGGTTAAAAAGTGCAATGACTCAACGTTACAATTTGTTATCTGCACCTGTACGAAACCGCACAACCCACTATAGTCACTCCCGAGGTCCTGCCGTTCGTTTCCCCAACTTCTTTTTTGAATGGTTCTTCCGAAGCGAGACGCGCTTAATGTATCAGTCCAGAAACAGTATTTCTCAGCAGAGACGTACCTGAGGTGTGGGCAGAATGGGATTCGTTCCAGTGGTCAGTGCTAATCAACGACTCGGCGGCGAAACAGCAACAAAAAGAAATTTAAAAAAGAGGATAAATGAGGAAGAATTAAACGGGGAAAACAGTTCTCGAAAAGAAAAAGGAAAAAAAATTTTGAAAAACCGCTCCCTGTAAGAAAAGCACAAAGAGCCGAGTCACGCAATCATCACTCGATGCGGAGGGCAGGCAGCCTTATTATCAATAAACTCATTAATAAAGGAACTCGTTTTCGATCCTCTCCTAGCTCTTCCTCCCCTACACGCCCTCTTCCCCCATTTTAGCATATCAGAATTTTTTTCGCAAGTAATGACAAAACACATGCATGGAGAAATTGGTCAGGATACAAGACGGGAATTGTATGCAATTCCTGCATGCTTCACCACATGACATACTGATTCAGGACAAGTGAACCGGCGCTGTTCCAGTTTTTAAAATGGTGAAAATAAGGATGCCCATATTTTTTTCTTGTAGATTAGGATTAGATCAGCGTTTTGTTCCAGTACCAAAAAAGCGATGGTTTTATTTAAATCCACATTTTGTTGTTCTGGAGATTTTGTGCAGTGAAAATCCTACTAACCAACGCCAATGCAGTAAGGAGGGCACAGAATGTGGCTGAAATTACACTTCCACGTTCTCAGGAGACCTAAAAACATAAACACGCCATATCACTGCTCCTTATCGGGGGACAACACAAACAAGTGAAAGTCTGGCAAGCAGACGCTGTACATGGGGAAGTCATGCAAGTGATTCACAATGCCAGCTGAGACCCAACTGGCGATCAGCATCTGGAACAACTCGACGCTTGCAGTCCCAAAGAACTCCGAATACAGGGATTTTTCCAATTTGGGAAGGCCATTAACTTACGCTCAGTGCCAGGACCGAAAAAACCTGCGCACAATAACTTCATCGCCAATTTTCCTTAGAAAAAAAGGTTATATGGATAATATGAATTTTGATGAAGTGACCTGAAGAACAATCACCCAAATGAGCTAAGTCCATCGAATTCCAGATCGACCCATAGGATATCAGTTATGCTGTTCAACAGCACAATCCAGCAATTTTGCAACATCTCCCCACCTCCTAAATCTTTCCTCATCGGTTGAAAATGCCACATGGAACAAGCATAACTGGCAAATGGATGCAATGTGTCCCGAAGGATTAGCGGAGCGAAAAAAGGAGACGAATCAAAGGCAAATAAAGGTGGCACGGATTGGAATGGTGGTAAAATGTTGCTTTAACAATCAGTATTTGTGGATATTAGCTAAGGGACGAATGATACGGAAAAGGAAAGTTGACAAAACGTATGTAAGTAACGTGGAACGGATAAAAGTAGAACTGAGCTGGGCAGGAATGACTTCGGTCTATGACAACCAATATAATTCAGGATGACAACCGAAATGACTCTGTATCAGTGTGTTTTGAGTTCATTAAAGGCAAAATGAAACCGCATCACCTCCTCTCCAGTACCAGAGGAAAAAGATATTATCTCTCCAGACACTTTAAGTATTCATTCATTCGCGCATCATCATTTAAAAGGTCACTGGTACAATGGCCTCTTGTTTTCCTCCAAAAGTGTGCAGGACCAAAGAGCTCACGGAGCGGTGGTACTCAAGCCACAGAAAGATGCTCCAAAGCAGTAGCACCTGATTCTGTTCTCCGGAAGAGAAGTCGCATACATCACAGTCCACGCTTATCTACAGAAACTGTCCAAAGCGCTTTGAGCAGACAGGTTAATGGGCAATTTGAAGAGCCACAAATGACCGCAGCCTTTCAGACACCTAAAGTCAAAAGACCGCTCGGAAGTTCATCAAAAAAAATAAATGGCAACGCGCACCAGACTAGCCTGTGCGATCATGCGTTTTGTGCAATTCAGCCCATCGAACGATCGCCTATTAATGATTTCCACTGCTTTATCCTCTAGTCTATGCAAAAATAGTTTAAACATTGGAAAACAGTTAAAAATTTCACGCACCAGCGTATGAAA